CTCCTTTTTTTTCTGAAAATTTTTGTACGAAAGTCGTAATAGTAGCCCCTTCATAATACAAGCCCCCCCTAAAAATTTTGAACACTTGGACAGTTTAGAAGCCCCGGAGGCTTCTATTATGGGGGGGTTTTAGTTTTATTTTTTTCAAAAATTTTATATTTTGTCACATATTTATGATTAAGGGTTTATTCATGATTCCATATGGGCAATTAAAATTTTTTTATTGGGGAGAGCGCGGGGAGTTCTGACACACCTGCGTCCCAGCGGTTCCGACGGTATAGAAAAATCTAAGAAACTTATCTTGTTTTTCAATATATTTATTGCTGTGAGTAATACAAAGCAGCTTTCTGGCGTTTTTGGGACGTTTAAACTACCAAAAGTATAACTGTACACTAAAAATAAGGTACTTAATGTATTATCCATTTCAATGAACGGTGAACTTCGATGCTTTTTTTAATAACTTTTGAACGACAAGAGCTAGAGTTCTCCGGTTTTTTGTTTCTTAAATTAGACACCGAGGCACACAGAACTATGAAGTAACGAAGCTTCCAGAACAGGTCTACTATGGTATACCTTTCAAAGGAAAACGTCCGAGCTCGCCGTTCGTAGACTGCATAGTGAGCCGAGCTCAAAATTTGTCTGTTATATAGAAGAGACTTCCTTCTTTACAATGACATGAGTCCTAGAACTCCATCTATCATAGTTCGTACACCACAGGCAATCGCCGAGGACCTACCTGTCCGCCAAACCTCGCGCAAAAATTCATTGTTCTAAACAGTTATCCGCATGTAGCGCATGTAGTCAAAGAAAGAAAGAACGAAAGCAGAAAAAGTCTTAGTGCTTTCATTACCCACAGATATTGTTTAGACGTTGTTTGGGACATATGTGTCCCTGTGGTAGTGAAAGGGTTAATCTATGACAAGACCTTTTTTTCTTCTGGAAATAAATAATTAGCGAATGAATCAGATTTTTGTAAGTTTAAAGTTGTTTTATCTGTCAGATGTTTTTATTAATAAAATAATGATTTTATTTTGAGATAATTACAATAATGTCAATTAGGTCATTGCTTTATACTGGATTTTTAATATCAATTATTGAGTCAGCTCATTTTAATGGCGGTTCGGTGACTTTTCGACCATTGAATAGTTCAGCAACTGGTAGTACAGTGTCAATATTAATTACACAAACTTATATATGGACTTATCCAATAATATACTGTGATAATTCTATAATTGCATCACAAACGTTTGTAAACTTGTCATCTACTTATCCTGGCTATTCATTAACCTGTATATCAAGTTGCACTACAGCCATTGGCTACAGTCCACTATCGGTTTATTCTCCTTGTACTGATTTTAGTGATCCATTAGAACTTACCATTGGACAGCGTTCGGATGTTGTTGCTCTCCAATCGACTGATCACTTTACTATTGCATTTCAAAATGACGCATGGTATCATTTAGCTTTACCTGCTACTCCAGTAAATCCGTCTTGGAGTCTAGCTTGTACCATTAAACTTCTTGTACGACCAGATGGAACAATAAATACATCACCAGAGGCCGTAATGGTATCTCCCATAAATATACCAGTTGGAATCACTCAGTATGTAGTAATCCCGGTGTCAGATGCCGATAATGATAATGTAAGATGTCGATTTGCAAATGGTTCAAATGAATGTGGTGACGTTTGTCCGCCAGGTTCTTTACCTAGTTCAACTACAATATTATCAAATTGCACTTTGGTGATTAAAGGACTGACTGCTAATGTTTACTATGCGGTCACAATACAGGTATGTTAGAGTCTTAAGCTCCCATTTCTATTGCCACGCATAGTATATCTGGCTAGAGTAACTATTATTCATCTTACTCTAATTTATTACATTATTTACTGTTTCACTGAGAAATAACCAAATAATAAAACTACAAATACACGTTGTGACTTCGAGAAAAGAGTGATCCGATCTAATAGTTAATCAAAAATTTTTATCATTGGTAAGTGCGCATTTCATCCGAGCATATTTCCCTACTATAGAAATCATTGATTTAAACTGGAAAGTTCGCATTTGTGGAAAAACCCTAAATTTAAATAGATCCAAAGTTTGCTTCCAATTAAAATCCAAATCCAGAAAGCTCAGGAAAACCGAAAAAATGACTCCGAGATTCTATGCCCATAGGATCTTTTTTCGTATTTATTGCATTATAATGCGTTAGGCATATCGTAATGCCTTGTAATGTGTTAGCGTTTGTCTACTATGTTATAACACGATAAATTTGGAAAAACCATGTCTTTAATGCATTAGCGCAACGCGTTACAGTCCAAAATTATAGATTCACCTTCGTTTTTTGGTTTTCGGCTTATTTTTCTCCCTGACTAGAAGATGTACTGTGCTCGGTTTTACTCTAAGATATAGATTTTGATGTCCTCTTTCGTAATCTATTAAAAAAATGTTCGAATATCACATGGTTATCACGCAAAAAAAGTTTGAAAAAAAAGAGACCGTTTTTCGCTGGTCAAAAATATAAGACCACTTGGAGTCTTTTCGGATTTTTTACCAGATTTCCCGTTATTTCTTTGAGAAACACACCAACTAATGTAGGAGAGTGCGAGCTCTCCACTGACAAAAAGATTTTCGAAAAAATGTTGAAATTTCGGTTCGAAAATCGAGTTGCAATGCACACAATTCACATCTTCGAAAATTCCAAATTTCGAAACAAAAAAAAGTCACATTTTAACTCACTGAAAAGCATACCACGAGAAAGAGCGTGGAAAATTACATCTAGCTAAGCAATTTTTATCGTGTACCTGTCGAAAAAATCCCATCTGTTCAACAGTTTTCAAAGTGGCTGGGAATAGTGTTCGTCTTTGAAATTGAAATTGGATACTGAAAAAGTTGCTCCAAAAATTTTTCTTGATAGTGCGTCTGAAAGAACAAATGAAGCTCTACATTTTGTATGAAACAGTTTTTACAAATTTCAACGCACAAAGGAGATACGGTACGCTAACAAACATTTCAGACAGATTCTATGAATAGCGAAAAACAACGCAATACAAATATTGCAATAGGAACACTCTCTAAATAGTTGATAAACTTGTTTTGGCATCTCAGCCCAATGAATCATATCTCGAAAGATGATTTAGACAGTCCAAGTTATATTTCATGGTGGTCTTCGTAAAAAAACCGGACCAGCTTTATTATAGCATTGTTTTTCGCTATTCATAGAATCTGTCCGAAATGTTTGTTAGCGTACCGTATCTCCTTTGTGCGTTGAAATTTGTAAAAACTTCAGCTTTCTAAATCCAGTAGCAATGTTTAATTTGCGAGCAAAAAAGGTTTAAAATCTGATGAAAAGTCTTTTAGCAAATGTACGGTATTCTAGAGTATCGCTGTCAGGAAGAAGGGCAGCATAATTCGCTCAACATTCAGCATAATAATCTCATATTTTAGGATGTGATGCGTCATATAGAAAAAAACTGATAAATAAAATTTTTAGAAGCCTGGTTGATATGCTACTGAATTCTTTTATACTTTAACAATAATAGCGTACTGATGTAACAAAACCAAAAAATCTCTAAACTGTTCATCTACTTCTGTGAGATCTCACACACCCTCCATATATTAAGATAGTGTTGGCTATGATCTGAAGTGTTTGATTGACCCTCCTTAGCATATCTGGCATGCACAGTATAGGAGTAATTAAATAATTAAATTTAATTACAATTTCGATGGTATTATGAAATAATTCATTATATTTTGTTAGAATGTATGATTAACGTCGTTGCAGAGTCATTTTGTAGGCAATCTTTCTTTGTATATAATAAGTTTTAAAAAGTTTTAAAAGTTTTCCAGCGACATAGGTTTTTTACGTGAAACATTGTAAAAACAGTGTTTTTTCTGCTTTTAAGCATAAAAAGTAAGTTTTTGAAAACCTTGCTAGTGATTGTACAATGACAAAGAATTTCAGAGAAAAATTTTCTTTAGCGCGGTTATAGGTCATGTCATTCTGGATCAGATAAGCGGAACAGTTTTTCTTTTCTAACGACAAAAACTTTCAAGAAGCTAAATGAAAATTTTAAAATATTTTACTTAATAAGTTTTTAAAGCTTTTGCCATTAGAAAACAAAAACTGTTCCGCTTATCTGATCCAGAATGACATGACCTGTAACCGCGCTAAAGAAAATTTTTCTCTGAAATTCTTTGTTATTATACAGTCACTAGCAAGGTTTTCAAAAACTTACTTTTTATGCTTAAAAGCAGAAAAAACACTGTTTTTACAATGTTTCACGTAAAAAACCTATGGCGCTGGAAAACTATTTAAAACTTATTATATACAAAGAAAGATTGCCTACAAAATGACTCTGCAACGACGTTAATCATACATTCTAACAAAATATAATGAATTATTTCATAATACCATCGAAATTGTAATTAAATTTTTTAATTATTTAATTACTGCTATACTGTGCATGCCAGATATGCTAAGGAAGGTCAATCAAACACTTCAGATCATAGCCAACACTTTGTCAAAATATGCAATGGTTGTGGACCACTTAATAAGTAAATGTTATCTTATCTAGGTCGAAGATTATTGGAATACAACGACGACAACTCCGTTTAGTTCTGTGCCTGTACAATTTTTAATCTATGTTGTCTCACCACCAGGATGCCAACTACCAGTGGTGTACAGCACATTTAACACTGGTTCATGTATTGTTGTGCAAATCGGTACGCCAATAAGTATTGAATTGTTTGCCCAAAGCTACTGTGGTACGGATATTATTGATATTGCTACAATATCGTTTCCAGTAGTAATAAAAAGTTCTCTAGTTCAATATAATTCAACTGTATGGTCGGTCATATTAACATATACACCAACGACCCCCCAAACTGGATTGCAAAGACTTTGTGCTATTGCTGCTGATACGTAAGTAAACAATCTTCACATTAACACATCATAAAAACTATAGCCGTTTGGTACCTAAGTAATAGTTTTCCGTTAAAACTTCATTGATGATCTGTCTGATATGGTTATTCTAAAATTTTAAAAATTTATCGTTTTCTTTACCGCAATAAAATTTCAAAAATCGAAACGGTTCGGTTTCGGTCGAGCTTTGTTGACTCGCATTACTCTCTAAAATCATTGTGAAAATGCATAAAAGTTTTCATCATTCTTTCTTGCAGTAATTATGTACAATCGAATCAATATTGTCTAACATTTGTCATCGGAGATGATCTTCCAGCATTCTGCCCTAACTTCGACACAAATACAACTTCATCAACATCTACTACATCGACAACCGAAACAACAAGCACAACTTCGACGTTAGCGTTTTCATTATTGTTACTTGTAAAAAATCTGTGCGGTGAAATAGAAGATAGAGGATGAAAATTGCAACACTCATTCAATGAGAAGGCTCAAGCACGTTCCCACGATTGAACAGATGCAGACACACTAACGAGGAAATCTATTCAAGTGATACCTTCCGATTTCGTTCATTCATACGTCGATCGATAGAGGGTATCGACCTAGTAAAACTCCTAAAAGAATTTTTCCCCATGACTCTTGAAGACCTGGTTTTCTGGAAGATCCCTTTTTCAGAAACTCTAAAAAGTAACTAAAACATTTCTTAATGAGGCATGATTGTAGTCCGTAAGTTTCTGATCAAAATGAGACATATTCCAACTATACACGATCTCTCTTTGCAGAGTTATAGAATTTACAAGAGAAACTCTAAATGTTCGTTGTCAGCTCAAAGTTACAGAAATAAGAAATTAATTTAGGACTTTTCTTGTAAAGTCGATAACTTGCAAAGAAAGGTCGTATAGATTTGGAAGATGCTCATTTTAATCGAAAATTTGCGGACTACAATCAAGCCGTATTAAGAAACGTTTTGGTAATTTTTTAGAGTTTCTGGAAAAGTGGTTTTCCAGAAAAACAGATCTTCAGGAGTCATGGGAAAAATCCATGTAGACTTTTTACTAGCTCGATCGGTCGACGTATGAAGGAACGAGATCGGAAGGTCTCACTTGGATAAGTTTCCTCGTAAGACAGTAATCGGTAATATCAGATTTAGTTAGAATTTGCTCGTTGCGATCTACAACGTGGGAAGTGCTTTGACAACAGTGACTCAGATTAGAAGAACGACTACGTGTCTCTTCACATCGCGCACCAAATATGAGATAATGTTAGGGTAGGCTGGCTAAGGCATTTGCTTCAGTCTATTTTGTAAATTAATTTATCTGTTAGAAAATGGATACATAAATCTTTACATAATGGTCAGAATAATTACACTTTTGGGAGGCTTTAATCATCTTACTTCAAATGATAGAAATGCGGTGACCGTTCAATTCGTCGCAGACATTCGTCGTGATCATTTTGTCGCTGACAATTCGTTGCGGACATTTAATCGACGGTCTTTTTGTCTCACGAACATTTAGTTGCATCATTTTGGTCGCACGATTTGTTTTAACATAGAAAAAAAATTAAATAAAAGATATAGGTTATGAGAAGAAACGGTTTTATTATCAAACTACCATTATTCTTCTAATCAAAATTCATTATTGAATCAAGCACATAGTTTATTAGTAGAGCGGATTAAAGCATTTATTTCACTCTACTGTTTGTCCTTTTCGTGTGATGCGATAAATTGTTCGACAAAAAATTTATGTTAAAACAAATCGTGCGACAAAAGTGCTGTGACTAAATGTCTGTGATGAATTGTCAGCGACAAAATGACTGCGACGAAAAGATCTGTGGCGAATTTACCTAGCACATAGTTCCCGTCTAATAAAATACATCAGTACTAACATTTGTTTCACATGATCAATTAAATTATTGATTAATTTAGAAAAAGGAATAAAATTAAATCAAATTATTCATTTTTTCTCGCCTAAAAGCTTAGAATTTTTTGCATAAAATTAATACAAACAATTTGTTAAATCGTACTCATGTTTCAGTACAACATCGACTACGAGTACCACATCGACTACGAGTACCACATCGACTTCGAGTACCACATCGACTTCGAGTACCACATCGACTACGAGTACCACATCGACAACAAGTACAACATCTACGTCCGTTTCACTTATATAGTTCAATCTAGAATGCTACATGTAATCAAACTATTTTCTCTATACTTTAGATCGGTAACGTCAACAAGCACAACTAGCACGTAAGTTTATATTGAGAAAAAAACAAAAATATTTTTAAATTTACTGATATCCTATTAAGAACAAGTACTTCAACGGCAACAACAACGACTCCACCACTAAGTCAGTTTAAACAAATCATTTTCTATTGTAGAAGGTTGTTAAAAAAAACCTTCTTGTTCGTTTTAGCCCAGAGAGATGGTATAAATTTAGCACTGTTACTTGGATTATTATTACCATTACTTGCTTTATTAGCATTATGCTGCTGTTGTTATTATTGTTGTTGTTATAAAGCGTATTGGTAGGGTAGAATCTACAGTATGTTTTATAATGTTTTAAATTGTCTAAATGATTAATCTCTAATTTTTCAGGAGTTCACGGAAGTTGCGAATAGAAAATGATGAAAACAATGCTTACTATCGAAAACAGTATATTAATGAGAGTCACGATGATGAAAATAGTGGTAAACCGTTACAAATGAAATCACCTGATGACTCATTAGTATCTGTCTCTTCATCTCCGTTTGAACTAAGTAATGCTGAAACAACATACTTAACTTTCGGCACGCCTTCAATACTTAATAAACATTATACTAACAAAATAAACAAGAATTTAGATAATGGTTCTGAAACAACACAAACAAGACTGTTATCACCGTCAACATTGAGTTGGAATTATACTGAGAATCCCACTCCAAAAGATTTATCATACATTAGTACCCCATTGTCAACATCAATACTCTACAATAGTCCTCCGCGTCAAAGTTCAAGATCACCACATGTACAATGCAACAGTTCTGTGTTAGCTCTTGCTTATTCGGCGCAGTGTACGGGGGATGTTCCATTAAATTCTTCGATATTAGATCATGCATATTCCCAACAACAAAGGAAAAGCGTTATGGACAAAGAAACAAAAATGGCATGGTAGAGCATACATATTTTAGATTCAAAAGCTACTCTTCAAGAAAACGTTTCATGTTAGCGGATATAGTAGATAAAAAAGTGGCATTGTCAGAAAGTGTCTTACGCTGTACTCTTACAAGTATGATATAATGTGTTTTGCTTAAGTAGTGTTAAAATCCATGAAATTCTCATTCTATATGAAAACATTCTACAGATGTGAACATGTTAAGAAGCAAATTTACATTAAGCAGATGATTTAAATAAATTAGAGAGAAATCTGACTTATTTATTCAAATTTTATATAATTTCTTTATAATATATATTCTGATGCCGATGTAATTAGATGATTGGATGATTTGGGACTAACACACGATGCAAACCTGCACTTTTCTTTCCTTTTGTCGTAAAAGCTTACGACTATTTCTTTGAAAAAATCAACCTCTCACGCCGATCTGCTATGGTGTACAGTTCTCTTTTATAACATTGTTAAAACTTGTCCGATAACTCTAAAAGAAAGTCAGGAGACACTTAAACGTATTCATCTGCAGCTAACGAGGAAACCCGTTGAGGTTATAAATCGCCTTTGAACTCAGACTACTTTTATCTTGTAGATCTCAGTGAGTAGTGAAATACCTTAAGTTGGTTTGTGCTCATGGTGCTTTGTTGCTGGGATACTGAGCTTTTAGTCAGTTCTCGCCTACAGCGCTTTGATTTCGAGCAAAATCTGACTTTCAAATATTGATTTCAAACTTGCCACTCTTGTAGCCCATAGTCATAGTAGTACGCCGGAAAGATATTCGGTGCTGATGAATTTTCCTGTATTGAGATATTGAGACTCGAACATTTCACCAGAAGGTAACCGTGAGGGTCAAGTATTCGGGTCTCAATATCTCAAGGCAGGAAAATTCATTAGCACAGAATATTTTTCCGTCGTACTACTGTGACCATAGGCTGCAAGTGTGGTGAGTTTGAGATCAAAATTCGAAAGTCGAATTTTGCTCGAAATCCAAGGCGAGAACCGACTAAAAATTCAGTATCTTAGCAACAAGCATCATGGGCACAAACCAACTTAAGGTATTTCACTACTCACTGAGATCTACAAGATAAAAGTAGTCTGAGTTCAAAAGCGATTTATAACCTCCAGAGGTTCCCTCCGAAGCTTGTTCAGTCATGTCGAAGGTCGTGTTCGTTTCCTCAACTAAAGTTATTAGTACATAAAAAAATAAAAAATGAATCACGCCAGTTGTTGTGCCAATTTTTTGAAATTCGACTGATATTTCACAGGAAATATCAGATTTTAGGGAACATTAAACATTTCACTCAAAACTGATCGGAACGACACCAGAATCTGAGATCATAAATCACATACTACTGTCTTCTAGTTAGACTTCACGTTAAATGCGTACTCGTAACGAGATGAAAAAACGCCTAAGTACATTTAGCATTGGTTGTTTTGAACTCTTACGAGTTGAAAACAGCCTCCCCTATACTATATTAGAACATAACACTCGTTTGGACTCGTAATGAGTTCAAAACAGCTTCTAAAGTTTTTAGCTAGTTTTTTAGAGTCTACAAAAACCTGAAAAGGGTTTTTTGTTTTTGATAAAGAACCGCCCGTTTTTCATCTTGCATCTGTCACGAATGCTTTTTAGCCTTTTGGAAATAAAAAACGAAAAAGCGTTTTCTAAAAGGTTTATTGGTCTCAATAAACCCTTTTTGATAGTTTATTGATCTACGGCTGTTTTTTAGAGTGTACGGAATATTCCTTTCCAACTTTACTTACAAAAGGTAACGTTTAGTATTTTCATTGTATTTCCTAAAGAAAGATCACACAGAATTCGGACACATTGCACTTGCAGAAAAGTTTGCTCGACCGTTGTATATGGCGCACAGCGCCGACAGTTATTTTATTAAAAAGTTAAACAAATAATAAAACGTCAAAATTTTGTCACGGAAGTCCACTACGGCAGCAAAGTTACGTGACCACGACGTTTTAGCTCTCCGTGTTTTATTCAACTCTTTGCCATATTGCTCACGTTCAGTATGATACTGAACGTGAGCAATATGGTACGTTGGGACAACGTACATAATTCTTCCGCAGATATTTCAACATCGATTATAATTGATGCCATGTTTTAGATGACATACGATAATGGTGTTGCATTGTCATTTATAGTACTGTCTTGACATTTAATTTAATATTTGAATGTTCAATAACATTCATGTAACGATGCAGTTTATGAAATATATCATTATAAGCATAAAAGGGAATTATTACATCAAATAAATACTCATCTTCTATTTCTTTGAAGTAAAGTTCAGTTAATTTGATGACTTCTTGTTGTAAATGTGAAAATAAATTTTTCATGTAAACAAAACAATGGAGTTATTTCATATATATTCTGCTATATCAGTACAATTATCTGAGATAGTTAGATCCACTGACTTTAGTAAATTATTTGTAGATGAGTATATATCTCTATTCCAATAAGAACTTAAGTAACGATTCTAAATGATTGAATTATAAATTATAAAGGAAGCTAGAAAATACAGTGCAATTGAATGTGCATCATTATTTCGATTTCAATCATCATCTGATATCAATTCAATATATCACACGGTTAATGTTTTAAGGAAATATGAATTGTCATCATTCAGCATATTCCGAACGAAGTCGATCATGACATTTGAAGTGTCGATTCATAAGTGGACACGGGAGCCAGTCTTTAAACTCGTTACGAGATCAAAAATACTTACGTTTTCTTTTAGACTGGGAAGCTGTTTTGAACTCGTTACGGGCCAAAATGAGTGTAATGTTCTAATATAGTATAGGGGAGGCTGTTTTCAACTCGTACGAGTTCAAAAACTTGGTGCTGTAGTGTTCATGTCCATGGTGCTGTAGTGTTCATGGCATGGTGAGAGTGAATGGACCTGAACACTACAGCACCAAGTTTTTGAGCTCATACGAGTTGAAGACAGCCTCCCCACCCTGCGTTAAACATGTACCGTCGACACTACTTAACCTATCTCCTTCTTCCGCTAAGATTAGTATTGAAGTCTTGTATACTAGTATCCACTCCCCTTTCTCTTTACGGACTGAAAGCATATCTGTCGGCTCATCCTAAGCTCGGTCTTAAAAGAACACTGGGAACCCGTATGACAGGAAAACCAGCTATTGCGAGAAGCTAATGAAAAAGCAACCAAAAACAAATACAATATATGCGCAAAGAAGAAACAAACAAATAACAGGAACATGATCTTTGGAAATGAAAGCGAGGGAGGTTGGTGATCAGTACAGGTTGTAGTTAACAGCAGCAAATTTTGTGTGCGTGTAAAAAGGTGAAGAAGTTAACCAGCTTAGTTTCGGTCTCTTTTGTAAGTAAATAATTTCATACCTTCTAATGAAGGTCCATGATTGATCTCTGTTTGCCAAAGTAGTCACAATTCTGCTAATCTGTAAAATATTTCCAGCAAAGTTTTCTTTATTTGACTCATTTGTGGGTAGCTTTCAATGATACCAATCAATTTTAAGTCTTGTTTAATTACGGGATGATCAGCTGGTAAATATTTTGAATCAATTTCATATTTCTTTCTTATATACTCGCACGCTTCGCTCATCTTGAATTGTTTGAAACATAAACCAACCAAATTTTGATAAATGGCAGCTAGTAGGGGATGTTGTGATCCCAAAGAGTTTATTTTAATATCAAGACTTTTCTTGAAATGTTCAAGAGCAATATCGAGATCACCTTGTCGTAGATATGTATAACCTAAATTATTGTACAGCATGCCAATATTCGGATGATTATGCGGAAGATTGTCCAGAAGAATTTTTAGAGACTTTTCATGTATTTCCAATGCCAGTGGAAAGTCGCCACATTCGAGGTAAAGTGCTCCTAAATTACTGAAAATCGTAGCAGTTTGCAATGGGTCATTTCCACCTATTATCTGCAGCGCCTGCTTGTAATACGATGCAGCTTTCTCATAGTCCTGCTGTTTACAGTATAGCATTCCTAGATTGTTGTAGGTCATAGCTAATACAGGCAGACTATTAGGCAAATCTTTTACAGCACCATCCAGTGATCTATCATAGTATTCGACTGCTTTCGTTTTCTGGTCCATATTGTAGTAGACCGAACCTAGCTTGTAGTAGATACCAGACAGCGAAGGATGATATTTTGCAGCTAGAGCATCTTCCAATAACACGTGATAATAGCGTTCAGCACTAGTGTAGTGACCCATCTCCAAGAGCAAATTAGCCCAGTTATGAAGAGGGTTTGGATTAAATGTCTCTTTTTTGATACGTCCAGAAAGCATTTTCAGTTCTTCATCTTGCTCCCCTGTTAGTTCCAGTGTAACCTCCCAATAACTTTTACCTGTCTCTTCAATCGATGCAATGCGAAACACTGCTCCCATTGTAAATAAAATTTCTTTCTCTCCGCCTTTGAAATAACTTACTTCCGATATATCTGCGTATATAAATTTGTTTATAGTTTTGTCAATGCTAATTATAAATAAAATACCTTGTTCATCAGAGACAACCCCCGGTTCATCAGAAAACGCCTTGGCCACGTCTTGATCGAAAGTTGTCGATAGAAAACTACTCACAGAGAAGAAACCACCAACGTTGAATCTTATTTTCTTATCAAATTCTGAATTTTTCATCATTGTTCCTCGATAAACAGTTTCTGTCATTGAGTGAGCTGCAGTGTATCGTTCTTTCAACTGCAGATGAAGATCCTTGATGAAGTAACGTAGTTTATAAAGAGTATCAACATCTTGTTCTCTCAGTGCTGTATTCAACTGACGAAAGAGAAATATGGGACGTGTATACCAGAAGATAGCTTTGTCCGAAGCATAGGTTGATTCAAATTCGTCGATGAGGTCGAGGTCTTTTTTATTAGCGGCACATTGTTGACGGCAAAAATCGACCATTTCTTCTTTTGACGAGTCAAGGTCAACTAAAATTTCACGTAAAAATGACGAGTACATAAATTCCGCTTCTTGATGTTTTGGTGCATCAAGACATGGTGAAAACGTAGCTATCGATTCAGTGAGACATGAAGGATCGACTGTAGTAGAAGATGTGGTAATTACAAAATCTTCATGTAGAAATCGCTCTTTATAATGTCGTCGTAAACTGGATAATTGTTGAAAAGTGTAGTTTAATGATCTCAGTTCCGCGTGAGTTCCACTCAATTTGGCCAGTGGTCCATAACTTCGAGGATCTTCTTCTTCATCTGAATTTAAAATATAAACTGATATAATCTTTGGAAGCTCTCTAGTGAGCTGCAGAAGTGTCGATGAAGATTGTGTTTGAATAGAAATAATTAGAAGTATATGATTTTCATCTTCTTTCAAATTCGTAATATAGTCAATACATTCGTCTGAATCGCAAAATGTAATTAGAGAGCGATCAATCTTGGTTAAAAAACGATGCGTAAAAGAGTAGAATTCATTATTTTGATTAAGCCAAATAGTAGAGACACAATTCGGTGTTGTCATTTTATGATAACCGTCTGCTGACAAACTCTTTTTTGTAGTCAACTTGAATGCGTGTTCAACTATAAAATATAACAGAAAAGGAATGTTCGTTATTTAGCAGAAAAAAAAAATAAGGACGTCAAATAATAATAGCTTTAGTTCACGTAGAACACAAGAGAAATGAAAAAAAGATGAGTGCTATATTATTTCACGGAAAATATTTTTTCTCTCTATTTTCCCATACTTAGTCTTCACGGAAATGAAAAAGGAGAAATGTTGTACGGCAAATCCACTCTCCTACTTTTTAGAAAAAAAAAAAGAACAGAAAGAAGTCACTATGGTGTCAGTGGAAACGGAAAAAAGAAGCCGTTAACAATGATTATAAAGATTTCATTCAAGATGGAAGTGTTTACAATTAAGGGCGGCACATTACTGTTACTCATGTATTGTATTAGCGAGAAAAGTAATACTGAAAGGCATTCATGTTGCTGGTAACAGTAATAAACCAAGTATTAATATCCCCAGTAACAGTAACGCTTTTCGGTATTACTGTTATTAAAAATATATAGAATATTACCGTTACTAGTAGTAAGAATATATACAATATTTATATTGCTGGCAACAGTAGCAGTAATGCGTCACCCTACTTACGATACAAACATAATGGCAAAAATGTCGAGCCATATTTCCTATTATTGCATATTTCTAATATATTGGGGCATTAATTATTTTCCTGTTATCTTAACCCACGGTCTTAACTTCGAAAGACTTCAAATCTAAACTTTTGTGCATAAGTCTGAGTTAGAAAACTTTGAATAATTAGTATTTTTGCATTATTTTGCTACTCGGACATGGAATGGTTTTTGTGGGAAACAAACGCATGAGCACAGAGTCTGTGTGAAATGCAGTCCTACCGTCTACTTACTACTTGTTGGATATGTTTCATTCATAACTAACTGTAAAAATGCCTTACGGCTATCATTAGAGCCGTAGCAAATAAGTAATATTAGACTACAATCACATTGTACGTCTTTGTTTTTTTCTTTTCTGTGCTAGACAGAAGAGAGGAAAATAGATAACATTTTGGTTTTCGTGTATGCAGAAACGCAAGAGTAAAAGAAAGTCCATGAGAAAGTGTCTCCATCAGCAGTTCATGTTTTTTCCTGTCATACTCGATGTTTATCCACCAGAATTTCATGTTTTTACCTCAAAGAGTGAAAGTGTCTCCAGGAGCACTTCATGTTTTTTTCCTGGGAAACTCGGTGTTTCTTCGCTAGAACTTCATGCTTTTTAGAACGCCGCCAGAACTCGCTGTTTTACAACAAGAACTTCATGTGTGTTCCTGAAAAACTGGGTGTTTCTCTTCAAGAAATTCATGCTTTTTCCTCAGAAAAACTTGATCCTCTTACACGAGAACTTCNTTCATGTTTTTACCTCAAAGAGTGAAAGTGTCTCCAGGAGCACTTCATGTTTTTTTCCTGGGAAACTCGGTGTTTCTTCGCTAGAACTTCATGCTTTTTAGAACGCCGCCAGAACTCGCTGTTTTACAACAAGAACTTCATGTGTGTTCCTGAAAAACTGGGTGTTTCTCTTCAAGAAATTCATGCTTTTTCCTCAGAAAAACTTGATCCTCTTACACGAGAACTTCATGTTATATCCACAAAGAGTGGAGGTTTCTCTACAGGAACTATATGTTTTCTCCTGAATAGCTCGCTATTTCTCCACAAGAACTTCAACTTTCTACCTGAAATACTTGCTGTTTCTGCACAGGAAAAGCATCTTCGTTCCGGAAAAGATGCGTGTTTCACTTAAAGAAATTCATGCTTTTTCCTGTAATACTCGAAAATAGTATACCACATTGAGACTGGTAACATAGGCACTCCAGTAGAAAATGCTTGACCGTTTCTACTTTCTCACAAGCACAGATCCGACTAGAACTCAATTTTTTCTCAAACAGATCGAAATTCAATGGAGAAAAATTAACTCTCATTTGATTTAGTAAACAATCATATTTACGCTCGCTGAGCTTGAATCTTGGCCATTTTAAATGGCTAATCATTGTTTATGGATTAACAATTGACGATAATTATCCAACATCCACTACATCAGTTCAATCGCAACGCTAACAATGGTTAAAAACAAACAATAAAAATCAACAGCAACAGCCGAGACGATATCAACAAAATTTGTTAAATCAACAACAAACGACTACAAATAAACAAAAATGAATAGTAACATCACTATTAGTTATCCAATTTGAACAACCAACGCAAAAATTATCTTTAAAACTAGAACAAGATTTAGTTGAATACCGCAAAAACTAAAGAACTAATCATAGTACGCACTGGGAACTATGAGACCTATTCATGGTATGTGTTGAGTACTATGAGAAGAATGGAGAACCACAGCATGTGTTGAGAACTATCACAACTATGCGAACTATTTACAATATGTGTTGGGACCATGAGAACTATTCAGAACTATGCATATTATGTGTTGAGAACTGTGAAAACTACGATTACTATTCAGAACTATTCATAGTATGTACTGCGCAATATGGGAACTATGAGAACTCTGCATTGTATGTGCTGAGAACTGTGAGAACTATTCATAGTATATATTGAGAACTATCGCCACTATGAGAAATATTCAGACATATTCATAGTAGCCTCTGAGCACTATGAGAATTATTCATAGTATGTGTTGAGAACTGTCAGAACCATACATAGTAGGTGTTCAGAAGTATGGGAACTATGGAGAACTATTCATAGTACGCACCGAGAACTACTACATCCGTTGAGCACAATTCAAATCGTGTGTTGAGAACTATGAGAACTTTTCATACTATGTTTTGAGAACTATCAGACCCATGAGAACTATTGAGTATTATTCATTGCGTACGTTTAGAAGTACGAGAAGTATTCATAGTATATTCATAGTGTATGTTGAGTACTATCGGAACCATCAAGACTGTTCGTAGTCTATTGTGACAACTATTGGGCCTACGAGTACTATTGAGAACTATTCAATGTGTTCGTTAAGAACTGTAATAACTATTGGGAATTATTAATACTATGTGTTCATAAGTATGAGAACTATGAGAACCATTCAGCACTATTCATAGTATGGAAGAACTATTCGAGCTCTGAGAACTTTTCGTAGTATGTGTCGAGAACTATCGGAACTATGAGAACTATTCACAATATATGTTGAGAGCGTTGGCAACTATTCAGAGCTAGTCATAGTGTGCACTGAGAGCTATAAGAAACTATTCATAGTATATGTTGAGAACTATCGGAACTATTCGTGGTATGTGTTGATAGCTTCGGGAACTATTCAGAATTATTCATAGGATGCACCGAGAACTATGAGAACTATTGATCGTATGCGCTGAGAACTATGAGAACTGTTCGTGGTATTTTTTAAGGACCATGGGAACAATTTAGAACTATTCATAGTATGACTGACAAGTATGAGAAGTATACATAGTTTGTATTGAGAACTATCAGAAGTATGTGAACTATTGACAGTATGTGTTGAGAACTATAAGAACTGGGTGTTGTGATGCATGCAGGTGGATTCATAGTATGTACCAAGAACTGTAAGAAGTTCAAGAACTATTCAGAACTAATTACTATGTGCGAACCTGATTATAGTATGTACGCAGAACTATGAGAAGTATTCACAGTAAACGGTGAGAAGTATCAGAACGATAAGCAGTAATGAAAACTAATCATAGTATGTGTTGAGAACTATTAGAGCTATGAGAACTACTGAGACCTTTAAATATTATTTCTTGAGAACTATCCTAACTGTGGGGAGTTTTCAAAGTATGTGTTGAGTAGTATCAGAACTATTGAGACCTATTCACAGTACTTGTTGAGAACTTTGCGAAATATTCAGAACGATTCACAGCATATGTTGAGAACTATGAGAACTGTTCATAGTATCTGTTCAGGACTATTAGAACTATGATGACTATTGAGAACTATTGGTAAGGCACGGGTAATTACGTATACGTGGAAAATTGTGGCGCTGTTCAGAACTAGTCATAGTGTGCACTGAGAACTATTCACAGTATCTGTAGAGTACTATCAAAACATGAAAACTGTTGAGAGCTATTCATGGCATGTGTTGAGAACTATCCGAACTATCCTGACTTTTCATAAAATGGGTTGAGAAGTTCGACAATTATTGAGAACTGTTCGTAATAAGACTTGACAACACTGAGAACAATTTATAGTATTTGTTGTGAACTATTAGAAATATTCAGGAAGGATTCAAGGTTTGTCGCAAGAACTATGATTACTACTCAGAACTATTCACAGTATGAGTTGAGAACTTTGAGAACTATTCATAGTATGTAGTACATACTATGAATAGTTCTCAGTATATACTATATACTGAGAACTATGAGAACTATGAGAACTGCTCAGAACTGTGCTTAATATGTACTGAGAAATATGAGTACTATACGTAGTACGTGTTGAGAAGTATTCGAACTATGAGCAGTATATAGAACTATTCATAGTATGTATTGAGAAGCATCAGAACTGCGAGAACTACTGAGAACGATCCAAAGAACGTACTGAGAAGTATGAGAACTACACATGGTACGTGTTGAGAAATATCAGAACTATGGGATCTATTCATAGCTATTCACAGTATGTGTTGGGAACTATGAGAACTAATCATAGTATGCACTGAGAACTGTCAGAACTTTGAGAACTATTCAGAACTAATCCTAGTGTGTGGTTGAGGATTTTGAGAACAGCTCATAGTGTGTACTCACAACTATGAGAAGTTTGAGAACTCTTTATAGTACGGGTTGAGAAGTATGAGAACAATTTAGAACTTTGCATCGGATGTGTCGAGAACTATCAGAACTAAGAGAATTAATCGCAATGTTGAGAACTAATCGCAGTATGTGTTGAGAATTAGGAGAACTACACGTGATTTGTATTCAAAGCTAGGGGAACTACTCCGCACTATTCATAGAATGTATTGAGAACTATGATCAC